TTTTTTTTTGAGATGGAGTCTCGCTCTGTCACCAGGTTGGAATGCAGTGGCCTGATCTCAGCTCACTGCAACCTCTGCCTCCCAGGTTTAAGCGATTCTCCTGCCTCAGCCTCCTGAGTAGCTGGGACTACAGGCGCATGCCACCATGCCCAGTTAATTTTTCTAGTTTTAGTAGAGATGGGGTTTCACCGTGTTGGTTGGGATGGTCTCGATCTCCTGACCTCGTGATCCGCCTGCTTCAGCGTCCCAAAGTGCTGGGATTACAGGCTTGAGCCACCGCGTCCTGCCCGGGAGTGGTTTTATAAATTGGAAGTAAATAAACTCAACAGATATTTCCATTTGAGTTGTAAATACATTTTTAGGGAATGACAAACTCTTTTAAATACCTTCTCCAGATTAAAGCATTCTATTTCATCATTCTGTTTATTTTTTACTTTTATTGTCATTGCCTTTAATGATAATGATAAAAAGTGTCACTTACTGAACAACCAAATCTGCCTCAGGCACTGTTCTAATTGTTTTACATAGATTATCTTATTTCATCCACAAAATAAAACATGTAAGAAAGTTATCTGATGGGATGTGAAAGATGCAGACAGGAGTGGGGGCAGAAGTGAAAGTAGTACAGCAGAGGAAAACAAACGAAGCTTTTCTTTGGTCCTTCTGAATCACAATATTTCTATTTTTAAATTTTTATTTATTTACTTATTTTGAGACAGAGTCTGACTGTGTTATCCAGGCTGGAGTGCAGAGGTGCAATCACAGCTCACTGTAACCTTGAACTACTGGGCTTAAGCAATCCTCCCACCTCAGCCTCCTGAGTAGCTGGGACTCCAGTTGTGTACCACCATACCTGGCTACTTTTTACTTTTTAATTTTTTAGTAGGGATGGGATCTTACCGTGTTGGCCAGGCTGGTCTTGAACTCCTCAGCCCAAGTGATCCTTCTACCTTGGCCTCCCAAAGTGCTGGGATTACAGGCGTGAGCTACCATACCCGGCCTGAATTATAATGTTTTTAATGATCACTTCTGTTTTTTGGAGTACCCATTGTTGCCCAGATGATCTCCTTTCATAGATTTAGGTTGCAATGTAGTCAATCCTTTTGAGTTTTATATGCATTCTTTTTCAGTTCATTAACCTTGAGTTACATTTTGTTTCTAATCAGAGTTTTTCCAAATAGAGACATCAAAAGGCTTTCGGAGATCTCTGTGACAATTTTAAAACTTAGTATTTTATTTTCATGGTAATGTAAAAGCATCTACAGTTATTTTTCAATTCATTTACATATCAGTTTCCAAAATAATTGATTTCCTACATCTTCTTATGGTGACCAATGACTTTTTTACCCCTTGAGTATCATTATTAACTTATAATTTATGCATATTTAAAGTGTTTTCATCCATTGCAGTTAATGTTTTTATTTATGCTCAAATTGTTTTATCTTTGGCTAGAGGAAGCCTACTACATGCTTAAATCTGAAAAAGCATGTCTTGATGGTTTGGATAAACTACCTGTGTTAGTCCATTCTTGCATTGCTATACAGAACTACCTGAGACTGGGTAATTTATAAAGAAAAAAAGTTTCATTGGCTCACTGTTCCACAGGCTGTACAGGAAGCAGCTTCTAGGGAGGACTCAGGAAACGTACAATCATGGCAGAAGGCAAAGGGGAAGCACACATGTCACATGGCCAGAGTAGGAGCATGGGAAGGAGCGGAGAGGTGCTACACATTTTTAAACAACCAGATCTCATGATAACTCACTCACTGTACAGTACCAAGTGGGGATGGTGCTAGACCAGTCAGAAGAACTCTGCTCCCATGATCCAATCACTTCTCACCAGGCTCCACCTCCAACACTGGGGATTATAATTGAACATGAGATTTAGGTGAGGACACAGATCCAAACCATAGCCATTCAATTCCAGTGCCCAAATTTTATTTGCATTTATACTGGTACACAGTAGTTTCCATTGTTTCAGGTTAATATCAAAAGAACAGAGGGTGAAAGAATAGACCTAATCTTTAAATAATGCATTTATATCAAGTGAGGTATTGATATACATTATATTATGTTCTGTGATGTCCATTTTACAGTATTTCAGACAGGGGAAAGTGGGGGAAAATAGGATCATCATTTGGTATCTGGTGAGGTAGTCCTACTAGACTCGAAAGAATTTACAACATTGTAGTTAGTACCACAGTCTTGGGTGAGATTGATTAATTTTAGGAAAATAATATCATCCATCATAGAAAATTAATGTTAGATTGAGTTTTATTAATATTATTTTGTTTTTATTTAATTTTGTTTGGTTCGGCTTTACACCTAGTAAGGTGTTATAATCCGAAAGAGTTTAAAACTTTTTTTATGACTTCATACTTTATCTCTTTATTTCTTGGTTTTTGTGTTTTAGGAGTTACCAAATCGGCTGCATACATTATTAAATTTTGTGCAGTGTCTGTTGTGTTGTGTTGTGACTACTTCAAGTGTAGATTTTAATTCTATTACATTTTCAGTTTTATGTTTTAGATGCAAGAATTGTTTTTGCCATAATGCTTGGAAGAGTAATTTAAAATAGCCTTTATTTCATTCATCTCCCTTTACATTACATAATTTTATTTTTTGGACCTTATAAATCATCCTGTTCATCTTCAGTGGCTTTGGATATATCTTTTTAGAGTTTTAAAATGGGGTTGACAAATCGTTTTTGTAATTTTTGTATTTTTGAAATAGTTTTTGAACATCTTTTATTCTTCTTAGATTTTGGGGAAATGTTTCATTTCTCTTGTTCTTTAATGTTCTTCTGTATGTCTCATGGTAGCTTTTTTTCTTTTGGTGGCAGGGAGTGTGTGTGTGTGTGTGTGTGAGAAAATTCATTTTATTTCTCAGCTTTTAGTTACAGCTTAGGATTTGTTAGCAAATAAGCCTACATAAAAAGGATGCTGGCAAGATCTGCTTTTGGCATTGGTAGATAAGATTATTTTCGATCAACTCTTCTACTGAGAACAACTAGAAACATGAAAAAAAAAGTAAAAAAATAATATTATGAATCCATCAAAAAACTACTAAAGCAGTAAGGAATTTTGTAGTCAGGATCTGGCAAAAAACATAAGTCCAGAAGGGTAAGTCTTATATTTGGGACTTTTTTCCTCCTTCAAGGTGATGGCTGATTCCTAAAGAGGCGGATTAAAAGCAGAGAGGCTAGGATCAGAGTTATCAATCAACTTAAGAGGCTTGGAAGAGCAAAACTGGAGTTCAGGAGCCCTTCAGCTTTAATGGAGACCCCAAAGGGTGACAGTATAGGCAAAGTGGTGAATTGGAAATGAGAAGTGATAAACTGAAAATAGAACAGCCTTCATAGTAACAGAAGCCTGTCCTTGAACCACTCAATTCCTAAGTGGATTAAGGTGATTTGATATTGCTAGTGACCCCAACCTGACTTTCTATTAGAAACAGAACCAGATTTTTCTGAAGAAAGATGTCATCCTCTCAAACTTTAAATTATCTCTACTTTTTTTCATGTAAAATGTCTATCACATGATAAAGAATACACAGACATAAGAGAATATAAAAGGTATCTGAAAACCAAGGGAAGAAGCAGAAAATAGAAAAATATATGGGACTATAAGGTAACCATGAATAACATGTTTAAAAAATTAAAAGAAAAAATTAAGAGATTTGGAAAATAACTGAAAACTAAAAGGAACCAAATGAAAATTTCAGAAACTGAAAAATAAGATAATAACCAACTGACCTTTAATGAATGAAGTGAACAATAGCTTGTGTATAGTTGAAAGAGAATTCATGAATTGAAAGACAAACCAGCATAAGATATCCAAAAAGACTGGAAGAATGAAAGATTGAAAAAAATGTAGAAAAGAGAAAAGAAGACATATAGCATTTGGTAAAAAGGTATAACTTAAATGCAGTTGCATTTCCAGAAGGAGAGGGGAGAGAGAATGAGGCAAAAACAATATTTGAAAAGATGATGCCTGAGAATTTACAACATATGAAATTTATTAAGCTATGGATTTTCCGATCTCTATGGATCAAAAATGGAATAAATACAAATAAAACTGTACATAGTGATACATAATAAAACCACTGACAAAGGTAAAGAGAAAATCTGAAAAATAGCTAGAGCTAAAAAGGCAGATTACCTTCAAAAAGAAGCAGTAGTAAGAAATGATAGCTGACTCTGCTTTCAAAAGGATACTGAAATTGAGTTTAGCTTGAAAGATGGAAATAATAAACACAGCAAAAGTTAAGAGAGCTGATTTTACATTTTTGTTCTGACACTAATTTGTATGATCTAAAGTCACTTTATATTTCTAGTCTGTTTCTCATGTTACAGTTTGAATTTGGGCTTTTAAGCTTTAACATTGTTTAGTTTTATTCTGATAATTTTGTCATAGATTACTGATATACTACTTTGTGGTCACTGCGTAAGATCTCTGGTCCACTTATGTGTTATTTTATGTATGTGTAAATTACTCTGAAGGTAAACCTTGATTTTCCTGGGTATCATAGTATGTTTTGTGGATTGATGCTGAGTTGTTTTTTTTATTTTTATTTTTTTATTTTTTGAGACAGAGTCTCACTCTGTCACCCATGCTGCAGTGCAGTGGCGCAATCTCAGCTCACTGCAACCTCCCCCTCCCACGTTCAAGCGGTTCTCTTGCCTCATCCTCCCGAGTAGTTGGGATTATAGGCGCCCGCCACCATGCCCGGCTAATATTTTGTATTTTAGGAGAGACGAGGTTTCACCATGTTTGCCAGACTGGTCTTGAACTCCTGACCTAGTGATCTAGCCATCTTGGCCTCCTAAAGTGCTGGGATTACAGGCGTGAGCCACCGCGCCCAGCTGATGCTGAGCCTTATAGCTGGCTGGTGAATACTCAAGGCAGGATGGTATCGTACATATCCCAGTTTAGGGAAGGAGGAAACAGAGGGATGTGGAAATCCTCTTTTTTTTTTTTTTTTCTTACAGAAATGAGAGGGACAAAAGAAGTAGATTCCTGAAATTCTAACTCTACTTCTTTTAATACAAATTGTTTCAATTTTAGTTCTCCAGAACAGCCAAATCCAAACAGCCAGACTGAAAAAGGATTTGCTTCGTTTGTGACTCATATTCTGTTTCATCTGTGCTTTTCCTTCAGTTGAGGCTCCTTTCTTTCTGCTCGTTTCCCCAAGTAAAGCAACTTGTTCTCCCCATAAATGGTGTTTTACCTTTTAACGCTGGCTGAATTTAGGAAACCCTGTCTTCTCAGTGAATCGTTTGGTTTATATAGAATGTCAAATTCTGTTTAAATAGTTATAGATGACTTGTTCCATGGATCCATGCATTATGTTTAAAATTACTTTCTGTTCATCCTTGAATAAGATATCTAGACCCAAAGTTTCCCAGCAGTTCAGGATGTATGAATTTTCTTCAGCTTTACTCTTTTTTTCCCTGGGGTCTTAGTCGAATCCTATTCTCAGGTCTGTAATTGTTTACAGCTCTGAACATTATTCTCAGTATTTAGCATGTTTTTATTTAATGTAGCTCTTTAAGTCTAAAGATATGTTTTTGTACATCCCCTGTTGGCTGACTCCTTAATAAACTGAATAAAGCATTTGGACAACTGTAGTTTTTAGTGTGTACTGGCAGTCTGATATCTGACCCAATCATTTTCTGGGATTTGGAGCCTTTAAATGACTGAAAGAGGTATTCTGCTAATACAGTTGGACAGTGTACATTGTTTCAGTAGCAGCTGTCACTGTGACAGCTGTTTAGTTTCCTATTTGTTGTAGACCTGGAGTTTCTGAAGGAATGTTTAGAAGGGAGGAAAGTTTTCTGTCTTCTTTCAGTTGTGTTGACCTTGTTATGTTTCTTCACATGAGTGGTGCACCAATTAGACATTTCAATTTGGTTTTGTAAGCCCTTACACAGTAGACATCTTTTCCACATCTGGCAATAAAAAATGGAATAGGTAGTGAGTGACAGATGCCTTTTAAAACCAGATTTTAGTATTGGTTCTTAAAATATTTGTATTTACTATTTTTATATTTTAAACATAGTTTAACATTTTCTGATATATTTTTTTGGGGGAACCCAGATATTTCAGAAATGGCTTTGAAAATCTTTGGTCTATTTGTATTTGGAAGTTGTTTAGGAAGAATAATGCTCCATTCATTATATTCTTTAAATTAGTTAAAAGAAAGCTTGGAACAATCAATCGACCAACTCCGGAGTCAACGTTTATTGAGAAACTCAGGAGGGAGAAGTATTTCTGTTACAAGTTTGAGTGCAAGTGACCTTGATGGTGGCACTGGGCCAGGTAAACACTTCAAATGTTCTGGAAAACATTTTTTTGTTTTAAAAATATTTTTGAAGTAGATATTGAATACATTTAATTTTTGGAGAAATATGACCCATGCATAACTTCACGCAGATTGGATATTGGATGATAGAACATGTAGTTGTCCAGGATTTTATAGTACATAATTTGAAATATATTAAAGGATTTTTGTTGTTATAATGTTTTTTTCCTCAGACTCTGTAGACCACATTAGAGCTTTACCTGACAAAAACCTGGATTTAATTGTCTGCTGCCAAAGAATCAAAACAAATACATAAATAAGATTCACTATGTGATACACTTTTTAGGTTAAGTATCTTGTCCTAGCATAATACATTTCACATCTCTTATGAAATATCCTGTGATACTTGTTAAGACCAGATGAATTTTAGTCTTGGCATGCAGGTGGATATGAATGACTAGCTTAAAGGTTATGACCGTTTGTCCTAATTAATCTTACTTACACTTTTGTATAGCACTGAGATTCATGTTTGAATCGAAAAGCCTGCAGTAAGGGGAGACGATTTAGATAATTGAACATTGGTACCTTACATTGTTAATATTACTGTTGATTGTGATCAAAGTGATTAAAAATTGGGTACTTTTTATGTAGTTAGTTTTTATTTTTATGTGCTGTTCAGATTGTAGATTACGTAGTTTTAAAAATTGTGTTTTTTAGTATTAAGTTATATTAAGGGGTCATACAAGTTTTTTATTTAGCAATTTATTATTTTTATATGAGCAAATATGTTGCTTCTTTGGAAAGCATAGCAAATTGAAACTTTGGAGTGTTCTATTTCCAGGTTATTTCTGTTTTTCATTTTATCTGCTTTAAGAGCACAATTAATGCTAATTTGGTGGAACTTTATAGCCATAACAAGATAGTTGGGAAATAGTCTGGGTTAGGGACATATGTATATGTATATCCATGTCTGCCTTGTTTGTACTGAGTAAAATTTTAGATTGTCTCTTCTATGCAGTGTTTTAATACCTTCCCTTTTCTTTCACTTGTGAAGAGAGCCATCGTTTTCCACCTACCTCACCTCTCAAGGACTATGGGGATCCACTGGGTATTAAACGAAATACTAGATCAAGAACTGGTGTCCGCTTTGTTCAAGAGACTGATGATATGACTCAGGTACTTTGTACAATTCTGTAATTTGTGTGCAGTATTTCCTTATGTTTCTATTGTATATAGATGACTAACACTTGAACTTTAAGTTTATATTTTAACCAATTTGATCATTAGTAACTATACTGATCCCTTTGATTTTGAACCAAGTAAATGACTTTATTTTACTTTTTATTATTTTTTTCTTATTGAAAAATCATAGTTGTATACATTTATGGGGTATAATTTTTTTTTTTAATATATGTATACAATGTGGCATAATTAAATCAAGTTAACATCTATCACTTTGCTTATCTATCATTTTTTATGGTGAGACATTTGAAATTTATTCTGTCAGTTATTTTGAAATATATAGTACGTTATTATTGACACTGGTCACCCTGATGTGCAATAAATCTCAAAACCTATCCCTCCTGTCTGTCTGGAACTTTGGAGTGTTTGATCAACAGCTCCCCTTTCTCTCCCTCTTCACCCCCTCTCCCCACCACCTTCTGGTAACCATTATTCTCCTCTATATTTCTATGAGTTCAACTTTATTAGAGTTCATATACAAGGGATATGAACTTGTATATGTTCATATACATCATATAGTATTTGTCTTTCTGTGCCTGGCCTTTTTTACCTAACATAATATCTTCAGATTCATCCATGTTTTTGCAAATGACAGGATTTCTCCCTTTTTAAAGGCTGAATAGTATTGCGTTGTGTATATATACTACATTTTCTGTATCCATTCATTCACTGATAGATGCTTAGGTTGTCTGCAGATGTTGGCTATTGTGAATAATGCTGCAATGAACATGAGCGTGCAGCTATCCCTTTGACACATTGATTTTAGTAGCTTTGGGGATATATCCAGAAATGGGATTAATGGGTCACATGGTAGTCTTAGCTTTAGTTTTTGAAGACCCTCCATACAGTTTTCCATAATGGCTGTACTAATCTACATTCCCACCAACAAGGGTACAAGGGGTCCCTTTCCTCCACGTCCTGTCCAACACTTATCTTCCATCTTTTTGATAAAAGCCATTTTAACAGGTGTGAGGTGATATCTCATTGTGGTTTCAATTTGAATTTTCCTAAAGTTTACTGATGCTGAATATTTTTAAAAATGTACCTATTGACCATTGTTATGTCTTCTTTTGAGAAATGTCTGTTCAGGTCCTTTGCCCATTAAAATTTTTTTTTTTTTTTTGCTATTGAGTTGTTTGAGTTCTTTATATATTTTGGATATTAATGCCTTGTCAGACATATGGTTTGCAGATATTTCTCCCATCCTGTGGATTGTCTTGTCACTTTATTAATTGTTTCCTTTGCTATGCAGAAACTTTATAGTTTGATGTGATCCCGTGTGCCTATTTTTGCTTTTGCTGCCTGTGCTTTTGGGGTCATCATATTCAAGAAATCATTGTCTAAATTAAAGTCATGGAGCTTTTCTCCTACGTTTTCTTCTAGTGGTTTTATAGTTTCAGGTCTTATATTTAAGTGTTTCATCCATTTTGAGTTGATTTTTTTGTGTGTTATAAGATAAGGGCCTAATTTCATTATTCTGCATGTATGTGCAGTTTTGCCGACACAATTTATTGAAGAGACTGTGCTTTCCCATTGTGTGTTTTTAGCACCTTCATAAAAAATCAGCTAACCACAAATGTGTGGGTTTATTTCCGGGATTTCGCCTCTGTTCATAGGTTGATGCGTCTGTTTTTTGCCAGTATCGTGCTGTTTTGATTACAAGCGCTTTATAATGTTTTGAAATTAGGCAGTATACTGCCTCCAACTTTGTTCTGTTTTGCTTAGGATTGTTTTGGCTATATGGGGTCTTTTGTCATTCTATGTGAATATAAGATTGTTAATATAGGATTTTTCAAGTAAACTAGTTTATTTTCAATGTACAAATCATCTCCCTTTGTTTTGAGTTTTGTTATGGAGGATTATATCTTGCAGAACATTTAAAAATGAGCTTAATTGGACATGTTTTGTTTCCTTTCTTGTTCAGCACATTTTTCCGTAATCCCTGCTAAGTCAGCTACTTTCTCTTTTACTAAGTTTGGTTTAGTATGACCAAGTTAATCTTTGTGTGGTTGATCTACTGATTTTCCTACCGTTAGTGTTTTTCTGATCGTTGAATCATTGATAGAGCTATTTGCTATTAAGTAAGAAATTCCATACTTTATGTATTCACTAAAGATTTCTGAAGTACTAGTTTTGTGGAAATCTTTTTCTGCTTCTTTAAAGTTCTCTGCAGAGCAGTAATTTTTCCTTTTGTTGTCTTAAGTAGCTAAATTAAATCGAAAAGGGCTGGGGGAGTTCTGCACTTTGACCTTTCTGTTTTGGTAGTTTTAGGATTAGGTACTCAAAGTGTATCTTAAGATATTCATCTGTAGCTGTCACTTGTTACTGCATAAAGAGACAAAAAATCAAATGTATTAGAAGACACTCTGTGGAAACTTTTCCTTGGCAATGTTACTTTTTGATAGTTGCACCTTGCAAGCATGGACTATATGATGAAGCCCAGAACAGAGAACAATATCTTAACATTATTCATTTACTGTTTCCTTCTGTTTATTTAAGGTCTCTGTCATTGGGATAATGCTTACACTTGGAAACAGTGATGAGCAGAAACCTTGTCTTTAATACGTTTATAATCTAGAGGAGGAGCTCGATATTAAATAAATACATAAATACAACCTTATTTATGAACTGAGATGCATGCTATAGTGAAAAGATGCATAGGGCTACAGAATTATATGGTAGAGGACATGCCCCGTCAAGGAGGGCTTCCTGAAGGAAGGCTGACTGAGCTGAGATCTGAAAGGTGAGTAAGAGTCATTCCAGGTAGAACAAATAGCTTGGCAGGAGAGAAGATAGCCCCTATGAGCAATTTAAAGAAGGCCCACGAGGCTAAACAAGTATGAAGGGATGAGATTCTGTAGAGCTGTGTAACAGGGCTGACAAAATTATTTTGAAAAGATCACTCTGGCTGTAGTGTGGAAAATGGAGTCAATATGGGTGAACCAATTAGAAGGATTTTACTGTGCTCTGGATGTGAATTGATGGTCACTTGGGTTAGGATAGATGGAGTTGGAGAGAAGGAGGTAGAATTAAAGGCATTTTAGTGTATAAAATGGAAAGGTCTTGAAAATTAGATAGCCATGTGGGGAATGTAGCAGTGAGTGAAAAGGAAGTGTCAAGGATGCATCCCCAGATGCTGGTTTGCTAAATTGGAAAATCATGGTTGTAAAACTTAAGTTTTTCATTTGCTATACTACTTCACTCCTTTCTTTTTATGGTTCTTCCTTATTAAGTTCATTCTCAAAATTACCCTTAGCTCCACTTGACTGTGTACTTTCTTAATGCCCCCGTAAAGAATTTGTGGTTTGTTTACATATCTGGCTCTCGTATCAGATTGTGAACCACTTCTCAGTAGCTGGCACTGATAAATTGCTTAATGTGCATTTGTTGAAATGAATCAATTTGTTGTTTCTTCAAGTCTGTTTAACGTAGTTTTATTATAAATCATTCTATTTATATTCAGCATATATATTTACAGTTAAAGTTACAATAATGAGAATGAATCCCATATAACCCCCACCCAGGCCACTAAGTAAAGCATTATCATACCCCCAAGCCTCTTTTATACTCCATCTTTTCCCAAGGGGTATCCACTATCCTGACTTCATACATGTCATGACACTGTTTCTGCTTTAAAAAACAATTTTTTTTTACTTTTAAAATTTTTACTACCTACATCTTATTTAGTGTTGCTTGCCTTTAAACTTTATGTAAATGGGATACTACTATAATCTTTTGTAACTTCTTATTTTACTTGACGTTATGTTTTTGACATTCAACTTTACTAACGCGTAGATATCTTTAATTGTTTCATTTTCATTGCTATATCATACTCCAGTGGAGGAATATACTACAATTTATTTATCTTGGTGTACATTTGGTTTCTCATGTTCTCATTATGAATAATGCTGCACCATACTTTCTTGTACATGGTTCCAAGTGTACATGAGCAAGAGTTTCTCTACAGCAGGAGTTGACAAAGTAAGGCATTGTAGGCTGATAGAATAAAATTTTATTGTAATTCAGCCACGCTTATTTGTTTACAGTTACTTTTGCGCTACAGTGGCAAGATTAACTGTGACAGAGACCGTACAGCTTGTAATCCTGGCATAGTCGCTATTGGGCCCTTTACAGAAAAAGTTGGCAGACCGGTTTTCTCCTTCTTTCTCTCTCTCTCTTTTTTCTTTTTCTTTTACCCTGATTAAGGAAGAAACAGACCCCTTCTAGAGGGGTAGAATTCTGAAGGAGTAGAATTGTACTGTAGAAAATGTGATGGTAAATGTTTTATAAAACTTTTAAAAATTTGTTTTTCTTGGAAATTTTTTCTTTCAAAATAGGTGTTTTCTTTCTTAATAATATTACAGAATCTGGTTATTATTGCAAAGAACAAGATCTTATTCTTACCTTTGGCGAATCTTCATGGAAGAATTCAACAGAATTCTAAATGGATAACTGTGTTTTGCCTTTGCTAGCTTCATGCTTTTCATCAGTCTCTTCGAGACCTCAGCAGTGAACAAATTCGCCTTGGAGATGATTTCAACAGGGAGCTTTCCAGAAGGAGCCGGTAAAAGCAGCCTCTGGTTTTTATGAGAGGGATAAATTATGAGGAGAATAAATTAGCTTCTGTAACTGACATATTTATCTAGATTTTTAAAAAGTGTTGTTTTTATACAGTATCTGAAAATTTATTAACAGAACAGTTTACAGCCCTTTGAATTTAGAATATATCATGACTCAATGTTAGACAAATTAATTTCCTATTTCTAAAAACACTGTAACTTAATACAATGGAATGCTGACATTATGGAGGGATACATTGTGAGACTTTTGCAAAGAGGTAGATTTCCAAATACCATTGGAGAGAGAGACACAAAGACTGACTCGCTAGCTGACTGACTTTTGGCATTGCACACACAAAAAAGAAGTGTAACATGAAGTTTGTCAATGAACATAAACCATTGCAGAATGCAATACTTTAGCTTTTAGTTGAATTCTTTGAGGGTCAGTGGTTAACATCTGCCCCATCTTCGCAATTTTGTCAATCTGGATAGTCCCCAAGAGCTGTTATTTAATTTAAACTTCTTTACTCTCTGTCCATTTTTGTCATCACCAGTGGCAGGTGGCTTTCTTTTGGAGGCCATGTTTTGCTGAAAAACAAAGATTTTTATGCGTTCCTAAGAATTGCAATCCATATACAGCAATGATTAGGGAACAATAAAGCTGAATTGAAATTTGTTTACGATATTTGCTTGCTAACTCCAGCTATCTAAATCATACCACGCACTAGTTCTGTGTCGCTGCAACAAACATAGTCAAAACTATAAATGTTAAATCTATGAATATCAAGTATAGGCTGTAATGAGAATGAAAGATTCTACCATTATTACTAGTGCTATTAGCTAATATTATTGAGCCCTTATTTCATGATTTAACTTTAATTCTAGTAACTACCCTTTGAGGTAATCATTAATTTTTCCTCTAGTTTATGGATGAGGAAATGGGCAGAGAGAGATGAAATAACTCAGCTCTCTGGAAATCCAACAGGAGGGCTGTAGCAGAGTCAGAATTAAAATCCAGGCAGTAAGGCCCCAGAGTTTCTGTTCTTTATCACTTACAGTGTATGGTGGTTCAAAATCATTTTCACATGTGACTGATACAAATAAAGCATTTAAATTCCTGGATCGTGAGATATATTATTGAGCTATATTGCTAACCTTTTAAACTGGTAATATTTATTTAATATTTAGGTTTTTTTTTTTTTTTTTTACAAGTTGATAAAATTAACAAAATGACATTAACACTTTAATGTATTGTAGGAATGGTTTTACTACATAACCATTACCCATTTCAAGGAAGGGTATAAATTAAGCACTGAGAACATGAGTTAAAGAGAATAGTTGCCTTGTAAGAAGACACAGGGGAAGTTGCAGGGATGATTTAGTTGTATAGTTTCAGTGGTCATTTAAATAACCAATATTGGACTGGGCTGTTAGTATCTGGTAATAGTTTTTATGATCTATAGGCTGGTACCATCTGGTAATAGCCTTGTGACCTAGAGGCATGTGTGAGGCAGAAAACTTTGTTTAACCCAAAATAGGAGTTAGGTTTTTTGGGAAATGAGGTGGCTTACCTTTGTGAATGTGTAAAATTTCTGGATGCTGTTCTGCTTTACTTGTACCACAAATTCTTACTTCATGTTTATAAAAATAATGGACAGGGAGTTAAAAAGTTTAACTTTCTATTTGATGTTGAAAGGTTGGTATTCTCATTTAATTACTGATTTTTCATTTTTGACATTTATTACAAAACATACATTGAATAATAAAAGTACACTGGGAAGCAAGCTTTTGGAAAGGATTAAGTAAAGTTTAATTCAGAAATCACCTACTTTGGATGCCATATGAAGAACTGATTTGGGCCAGGTGCAGTGACTCAGGCCGATAATCCCAACACTTTGGGAGGCCGAGGCAGGTGGATTGTTTGAGCTCAGGAGTTTGAGACCAGCCTGGGCAACATGGTGAAACCCCGTCTCTACTAAAAATACAGAAAAATTAGCCTGGCATGGTGGCACATGCCCGTGGTCCCAGCTACTTGGGAGGCTGAGGTGGGAGGATTGCTTGAGCCCAGGAGGTTGAAGCTGCAGTGAGCTGAGTCACTGCACTCCTGCCTGGGTATCAGAGTGAAACCTGTCACAAAGGAAAAAAAAATTGATTTGAGGAGGGCAAGGTAGAAGTCTGTTGCACTAGTATATGAGAGTTGATGATGACCTGACCCAGGATTATGGCAGGAGAGAGATGGACAGGGGTGTGTTTGAAGATACTGTTTTTGGAAATCAAAGAGACAGGATTTGGTAGTGGTGGGTGAGGGAGAATAAACTAAGGATGACTCTAAGATTTTCAATTTGAATAACTAAGTAGATGGTGATTCCACTTCCTGAGATATGGAAGACTGGTTTGGGTAGGTGAGGTGCAGAGAGTTTGGCCTTGAATATGTTATGTTCAAGATGCCTGTGAGACATTCAAATGGAAAGTAAAATATTCAGATAGATATTTACTATGGAGCTCAAAGGAAAAGTCTCTGTTGAGGTAAAATTTAAGAGTGGTCAGCATGGAGAAGTGTCATTTGGAACCGTGGAAATGGATAATAACAAGAGAGAAACTATAGGGAGGATATCAAGGACAGGACTGAGTTGCAAGGAGTTGTAATATTTAGGAATCTTATGATAGAAGGAGGAGCTGACCTGAGATGGAATAGCTAGTGAGATGGGGGAAATTCCAGATGGCATAGAGCCACAAAAGCCAAGAAAGGGGCTGTAATATTTATGGGTGTTGTGTCAGGTTCTTGCAGTTTACTTATTTTTGTTATTCTTTGGTATTCCACTGTGTGAATATACAGCAATATATTTTAACATTCTATACATACATACAGACAGACATTTTCAGAGGTTTAAAGTCTTTGAAAATTTAGTTAAATAAGATTGTAACCAAGAAATAGAAAGATAAAAATGTTAAGAAATAGTAAAATTAACCTGGGGATTCAGTGAAAGTAACCCTGGAATGACAGTCATGGAGCAGGCCCAGGAAGTATTCACTCTACACTAGAGCAGGAAAGTAAGTGTCCCTTGAGAAGAAGATTGTCAAAAAGAGTGAAATAGATGGTTTGTTGACCGTTCAGTAAGAAGTGGGAGGAAAATATCAATGATGTGATAAGTAAGGCCCATATAAAGCCAAAAGATAATGAGAAAGCTTGGAAAAGACAAGAACACAAGAAAGTTATGATTGAAGTGTGAAGCTGACTACAATGTGAGCATGACAGAATGTGAGCACAAAGCATCAATTCCATCAATTTCATAGGATGGAATAATTCACAATATTCATAAGATGTATAAGTGTATTACATAAAACTCTACAGGTCCAATAGAATCAAAAATGGTAATAACATAATCTGAAATTAGAGAATGAGCTAAATATTTCAAAACAGCCAATCGAAAATGTCTTGAGTTGAACATGATGAAGGCGACTAGCAAAATAATTAATAATGGAAATGGTTGTGCATGATTCACAGAGGGAAGTGCAGCCAGAAGTAAGACAGTGCAAGACAGAAAGGCTTTTTCTTTTCTTTGTAAATCTTTCTGTACGATTTGTTCATTTATCACGTATGTTTTTTTTTTTTTTTGAGACGGAGTCTCGCTCTGTCGCCCAGGCTGGAGTGCAGTGGCCGGATCTCAGCTCACTGCAAGCTCCGCCTCCCGAGTTTACGCCATTCTCCTGCCTCAGCCTCCCGAGTAGCTGGGAGTACAGGCGCCCGCCACCTCGGCCGGCTAGTTTTTTGTATTTTTTAGTAGAGACGGGGTTTCACCGTGTTAGCCAGGATGGTCTCGATCTCCTGACCTCGTGATCCGCCCATCTCGGCCTCCCAAAGTGCTGGGATTACAGGCGTGAGCCACCACGCCCGGCCTATCATGTATGTTATTAATTTGATGAGAAACAAGGTAATGGGAGGTCGGTTAGTGAGGATAGAGTTTGCACAGCACACTTTGAGGTAATTTCTTTATGAATTGCTAGAAAGAGCGTGTAAGATTAAGAGTTTTTGTTCTCTTTTGTCTCTCTCTCTCTTCCTTTTTCCTTAATTTAAAATGGGAGATATTGCAACATGTTTGTTTACTGAGAGTGATGTTCTAGTGTAGCAGCAGTTCTCAAAGTTTGGTCTCCAGACCTGCAGACCTCTATTCCTGCATCACCTACGAATTTTAGAAAGGCACATTTTTGGGCCTCATCTCAGATTTGCTGATTTGAAATCTGGGGGACGGGATCCAGCAGTCTGCGTTTTAACAAGCCTTCCAGGTGTTTCAGATGTTTATAACATTGGAGAACCACTAAAGTAGAATATTTTGTAATAACATAATTATCATGTTATGCATTTCACTAGTTCTGTGTATTTTCTAAATACCCAAGTTTAAATCTTTTTTTGTGGCCTAGGTCGGATGCCGAAACAAAAAGGACTTTGGAAGAATTGACTGAAAAACTTAATGAAGCCCAGAAACAAGAAGTGGTGAGACCTCTTTTTTTAAAAAAAGTTTTATTTCACATATAGAGGATGGGCTGGCCATAATCACAGTGAAGTTTAGTAGAGTTTAACCTTTTGGGTGGTATGTCCCATTTTGTCTAAAAGTGTGTTCTTGTAGCTCTTATAAAATGTTCATGAATTTTGGGTATTTATATTTGGTATATTTATATTTAGGGTATATTTATTTTTTTTTTACATTTAGAGATTTATATAATAGTATTAGCATATTAGAGATAGAGTCAACATTTGTTTTAACTAGGTTAGAGTTTATGATGACTATTTGAAAGATAATTTAAGTTTTACTGGCTCTGATTGTTGCGTTTTTGTGAAATGATATTTGAGAAGTGCAGAATGCTTTTCTTTTCTTTTTTTTGTTTTTGAGACGGAGTCTCGCTCTGTCGTCCAGGCTGCAGTGCAGTGGCCGGATCTCAGTTCACTGCAAGCTCCGCCTCCCGGGTTCACGCCGTTCTCCTGCCTCAGCCTCCTGCGCAGAATGCATTTCATAGTGGTTTTGTAGCACTCCCCATTTTCAGGTTGTCTCACATGTGTGTAGTTACAATTGCTAGAAAGACCTCTTTGCTGTCTGTTTTTGTCTGATATGGTTCCATTTGAAAATACTCCTAATTCCCAAGCTTTATTATCTCAAAGTCATATTGTTGACACTCACTGTTCAGTGATTTATTTTTATCAAATCACTATCCTTGGTGGAATTAAGGTTAAAAAAATACAGTCTATATAGTGTTAATTTCTTTATATTATCAGTTTGTCTTTTTAGGAGGAAACGGTTAATGGTCACTAAACTTGCGAATTTGTCAACTTCAGGAGTGTATTTATTCATTTATTCATTTCTCATAATACCTTTTTTTCAAGATAAGGAAAGTGAGCAGGATTTTTTTCTTAATATATTTTATTCAAATTGCAAGTTTCCTAGTAAATTTTTCTCCAGTTGTTAATTTGTTTACAGTTCCTTACATAGATATGTTGAGTTCATTTTGGAGTTTGAATTTATTGGCTGAATGTGCTAAGAGATAAAAAGATCAATGAAGTTGATCTTTTTGAAAATACGGTATTTGAAAATTTCTCTGGTAGTGAAATTTGCTTATTTTAAAAATATGAATAAACACTTGGCTACATGAAAATACTTTTCTTTTGTGTTTTTGGTATTAAGTTTTTTGTGAAGAGCCTTAGAAAGGTGAAGATACAATGCCTGTCTTCTGCTGAAGTAGACAACATTTTTGCAATTAATGTGTGGCAATGTGGCATCTAATATGTAATATCAAGATATATTTATTTTTTTGCATAAAGTTCTAGATTTTTTCAGACGTACCAAGGGTACCTTCAATTTAAACTGTACCAGTCTAAAATATCTAAAACATCACATACTTCCAAAAAAGGACTTTTCTGAGATTAACAGTTTGGTGCTTTTCTTAGTTAATTGCAATAGTTCACACAGTATGAAATCTGTGCTATTGTCTGATTTACATACTAAATAAGAGCATTTCCATATATATTTTGAAATCTGTATACATTTAAGAATGTTGCTCTAAGGTCCTCTTTAACTTACTAAGTAATATTCTGTCTCATCTCATAAATTCCAGAGTGGAACCTGTTACTTGACAAGGGAAACTGCTGAAGCTCTCTTTTCTTTTTCACTTGTTTTAAATTTTTAAAATTCGGAGGTATACATGCAGAAAAGTACATGTATCAGTGTATAGCTTGATGAATTATCATGAAGCGAACATACCCTCACCACCCAGATCTAGAAATAGAATATTACCAGTATTCAATAAAACTTCTAATTTCTCTTTCTAATCACTAACTTCTTGCTTTCTAAAGATAATCACTATTTTGCCTTTTAACACTATAATTTCCCCCTGTTTTGAACTCCTTGTATTAATGGAACCATATAGGACAAGTTTTTTTGGTCTTTGACTTCTTTTGCTAATCATTAGGATTGTAATGGGTGTTGTGTCAAGTTCTTGCATTTTGTTCATTTTTATTGTTCTTTGGTATTCCATTGTATGGATATACGGCAATATATTTTAACATTCTATAGCTACAGATAGATAGTTGGATTATTTGAAATTCGGGGCTTCTATGGATAATACTGCTATGACCACTCTTATTCAATATTTAGTGTACATGTGCATGCATTTCTGATGGTACATAACATGGAATGCAGATCCTAGATGCCTTCAAATTTAGTAGACACCAAAAAATAGGTTTCCAAAGTGGTTGCAGTAATTTACACTCCCACTAACAGTGTATGAGAATGCGTGTTGCTCTTCTTCTTTCCAACACTTGCTATTACTTGTCCTTTCAATAGTAGCTATTATGATAGGTGTTTATGGTGTCACATTTTGGTTTTCTTTTACATTTCATGATTACTGATGATGAACATATTTTCATATGTTTGTAGACTGTTGGTTATTTTCTTATTTGAAGTGCCAGTTTGCATCTTTTGTCCACTTTTCAATTGGATTGATTGTCATTTTGTTATTGTTTTGTAGGAGGTCTTTATATTTTTTTTTCTTTTTTTTTTTCTTTGAGATGGAGTTTTGCTCTTGTCATCCAGGCTGCAGTGCAATGGCATGATTTCGGCTCACTGCAGTCTCCGCCTCCTGAGTTCAAGTGAGTCTCCTGCCTCAGTCTCCCAAATAGCTGGGATTACAGGCGTGTACCACCACACCTGGCTAATTTTTTTGTGTTTCTAGTAGAGATGAGGTTTTGCCATGTTGACCAGGCTGGTCTTGAACTACTGACCTCAGATGATCCACCCACTTCGGCCTCCCAAAGTATTGGGATTACAGGCATGAGCCACTGCACCTGGCCTATATATTTTCTATATGAGCACGTTGTGAGTTTTTTATATTGCACGTATCATCTCCCATATTGCAGCTTGTTTCTTTTCATTTTTATATTGTTCTTAATGGGACCTTCTATTGAATTTTAATCCAGTTTAATTTTCCATCTTCTCTTTTGTGGTTAGTACTTGTTTGACCTGTCTAAGAAGTCATTCCCTATATTTAGATCACAAAGATGTTCTCTTGTGTAATCATTTAGAAGCTTATGGTTTTACCTTTCACATTTAGATGTGATATTTACTTGAAATTGGTATTTGTGGTATGAATTAGGAGGAATACATTTTATATGAATGTTTAATTGATTAAGTTCCATTCATTAAAAGGACTACTCTTTCCCCACTACTTTACACTCATGTATTTGTTATAAATCAAATGTTCATATGCACAAGCATCTGTTTTGGGACTTGTTGATCCCCTGGTTTATTTGTCTATCCAAGTGCCAGTATTCCACTGTCTTGATTACTGTTGCTTTATATTTAGTTGTGATAGGGATAGAGTAACTCCTTTCATGTTGTTCTTCAAACTTGTCTTGTGTGTTCTTTGCCTTTTGCATTTCCATATATATTTTGAAATCTGCAAATGAAATTATTAAAAATCTGGGATCTTGATTGGATTACATTGTTTCTATAGGTCAATTTGAAGACAACTGAAATCTTTATAATATCAAGTTTTCCAATTTATAAATGTAGTATATCTTTCCAATAGTATTTTATGGTTTTTTAAATCTAGAAGTTAAAAAGATTTTTTTTAAACAATTTTTTTGAGGTATAATTGACATAGAATAAATGATTTTTTTTTAAAGTTTTTTTTTTGATATGTTTTGACATAAGTATATACCTGTGAAACCATTACCGCAGTCAAGATAAGGACACATCCATCATCCCCCAAAATTTCTTACCCACCCTGCCCTGATTGGCCTTTTCCCTACCCCTAAAACTCAAGTTTAAATGTAACTATCCTTTTACTTATTTTTTTTTAGTAAATTTTATTTTGTAAATTTAAGCTATGCAACATGATGTTGTGGGATATACATAGATAGTATAAAGATTATTACATTGAAGTAAATTAACATATCTGTCCTTTCACAGTTACCTATTTTTTTGTTTTGTTTTGTTTTGTGGCAAGAACATCTAAAATGTTCTTATTTAGCATGAATCCCATATACAGTACTGTTTTATTATCTATAGTTCTCATGTTGTCCTTTAGATCTCTAGACTTGTTCATCCTACATATCAGCTACTTTGTATCGTCTGACCTGCATCTTCCCATTTCATCCCCTCTAACCCCTCTGTCCCTGGTAACCACTGTTTTGTTCTCTCTTTCTGTATATTTGATTTCTTTTTGTAGATCCCATATTTAATTAGTGAGATCATGCAATATTTTTCTTTTTGTGTCTGGCTTATTTTACTTAGCATAATTGTCCTCCAGACCCAGCCATGTTGTGGTAACTGAAAAGATCTCATTCTTTTGTAAGTCTGAGTAATATTTCATTGTATATATGTACCACAATTTCTTTATTCATTTTTCTATCAACAGACACTTAGGTTTTTTCCATATCTTGGCTATTGTGAATAATGATGCAATGAACATAGGAATGTAGAATCTTTACATGGTGATGATTTTATTTCCTTTGGGTATATGCTCAGCAGAGGGATCGTGTGTCATTTGGTAGTTCTATTTTTAATTACTCTTTCTGAATACTCTTGTCAACATTTGTTATTTTTTGACTTTTTAAAATAATAACCACCTTTACAGCTGTGATGTGGTATCTCATAGTGGTTTTGATTTGCATTTCCCTGATGATTAATGATGTTAAATACCTTTTGATATAGCTGTTGGTGATTTTTGTCTTCTATGGAGAAATGTCTATTTAGATCCTTTGCCCGTTTAAAAAATTGGATTATTTGTTTTTCTACTATTGAGTTGTATGAGTTCTTTGTAAATTTTGGGTATTAACCTCATCAGATATATTGTTTGCCAATATTTTTTTCAATTTGTAGGCTGCTATTTCATTTTGTTGATTATATGTTTTGCTGTACAGAGCAGCAAAAGATATAATTTTTTTTTTTTAGTTTGAAGTAGTCCCACTTATTTATTTTTGCTTTTGTGGCCTGAGCTTTT